ATGTCTGTCAGCATTGTTCTTGGTTAAAGAGGCACTGTCTGTTAGCATTGTCCTTGGTTAAAGAGGCAATGTCTGTCAGCATTGTTCTTGGTTAAAGAGGCACTGTATTTTAGCATTGTTCTTGCTTAAAGAGGCAATGTCTGTTAGCATTGTCCTAGGTTAAAGAGGCAATGTCAGCAATGTTCTTGGTTAAAGAGGCAATGTCTGTTAGCATTGTTTTTGGTTAAAGAGGCACTGTCTGTTAGCATTGTTCTTGGTTAAAGAGGCAATGTCTGTCAGCATTGTTCTTGGTTAAAGAGAAACTGTCTGTCAGCATTGTTCTTGGTTAAAGAGGCAATGTCTGTCAGCATTGTTCTTGGTTAAAGAGGCACTGTCTGTTAGCATTGTTCTTGGTTAAAGAGGCAATGTCTGTCAGCATTGTTCTTGGTTAAAGAGAAACTGTCTGTCAGCATTGTTCTTGGTTAAAGAGGCAATGTCTGTCAGCATTGTTCTTGGTTAAAGAGGCACTGTATGTTAGCAATGTTCTTGGTTAAAGAGGCAATGTCTGTTTGCATTGTTCTTGGTTAAAGAGGCAATGTATTTTAGCATTGTTCTTGGTTAAAGAGGCAATGTCTGTTAGCATTGTCCTAGGTTAAAGAGGCAATGTCAGCATTGTTCTTGGTTAAAGAGGCACTGTCTTTTAGCATTGTTCTTGGTTAAAGAGGCAATGTCTTTTAGCATTGTTCTTGGTTAAAGAGGCAATGTCTGTTTCCATTGTTCTTGGTTAAAGAGGCACTGTCTGTCAGCATTGTTCTTGGTTAAAGAGGCAATGTCTGTTAGCATTGTTCTTAGTTAAAGAGGCACTGTCTGTTTCCATTGTTCTTGGTTAAAGAGGCACTGTCTGTCAGCATTGTTCTTGGTTAAAGAGGCAATGTCTGTTAGCATTGTTCTTAGTTAAAGAGGCACTGTCTGTTAGCATTGTTCTTGGTTAAAGAGGAACTGTCTTTTAGCATTGTCCTAGGTTAAAGAGGCAATGTCAGCATTGTTCTTGGTTAAAGAGGCACTGTCTTTTAGCATTGTTCTTGGTTAAAGAGGCAATGTCTTTTAGCATTGTTCTTGGTTAAAGAGGCAATGTCTGTTTCCATTGTTCTTGGTTAAAGAGGCACTGTCTGTCAGCATTGTTCTTGGTTAAAGAGGCAATGTCTGTTAGCATTGTTCTTAGTTAAAGAGGCACTGTCTGTTAGCATTGTTCTTGGTTAAAGAGGAACTGTCTTTTAGCATTGTTCTTGGTTAAAGACACACTGTCTGTCAGTATTGTTCTTGGTTAAAGAGGCAATGTCTGTTAGCATTGTTCTTAGTTAAAGAGGCACTGTCTGTTTGCATTGTTTTTGGTTAAAGACACACTGTCTGTCAGCATTGTTCTTGGTTAAAGAGGCAATGTCTGTTAGCATTGTTCTTAGTTAAAGAGGCACTGTCTGTTAGCATTGTTCTTGGTTAAAGAGGAACTGTCTTTTAGCATTGTTCTTGGTTAAAGACACACTGTCTGTCAGTATTGTTCTTAATTAAAGAGGCCCTGTCTGTTAGCATTGTTCTTGGTTAAAGAGGCACTGTATGTTAGCAATGTTCTTGCTTAAAGAGGCACTGTCTGTTAGCATTGTTCTTGGTTAAAGAGAAACTGTCTGTCAGCATTGTTCTTGGTTAAGGAGGCACTGTATTTAGCATTGTTCTTGGTTAAAGAGGCAATGTCAGCATTGTTCTTGGTTAAAGAGGCAATGTCTGTTAGCATTGTTCTGGTTAAAGAGGCAATGTCTGTTAGCATTGTTCTTGGTTAAAGAGGCACTGTCTGTCAGCATTGTTCTTGGTTAAAGAGGCACTGTCTGTTAGCATTGTTCTTGGTTAAAGAGGCACTGTCTTTTAGCATTGTTCTTGGTTAAAGAGGCACTGTCTTTTAGCATTGTTCTTGGTTAAAGAGGCAATGTCTGTTAGCATTGTTCTTGGTTAAAGAGGCACTGTCTGTCAGCATTGTTCTTGGTTAAAGAGGCAATGTCTGTTAGCATTGTTCTTGGTTAAAGAGGCACTGTCTGTCAGCATTGTTCTTGGTTAAAGAGGCACTGTCTGTTAGCATTGTTCTTGGTTAAAGAGGCACTGTCTGTCAGCATTGTTCTTGGTTAAAGAGGCAATGTCTGTCAGCATTGTTCTTGGTTAAAGAGGCACTGTCTGTTAGCATTGTTCTTGGTTAAAGAGGCAATGTCTGTCAGCATTGTTCTTGGTTAAAGAGGCAATGTCTGTTAGCATTGTTCTTGGTTAAAGAGGCACTGTCTGTCAGCATTGTTCTTGGTTAAAGAGGCAATGTCTGTAAGCATTGTTCTTGGTTAAAGAGGCACTGTCTTTTAGCATTGTTCTTGGTTAAAGAGGCACTGTCTTTTAGCATTGTTCTTGGTTAAAGAGGCACTGTATGTTAGCAATGTCCTTGGTTAAAGAGAAACTGTCTGTTAGCATTGTTCTTGGTTAAAGAGGCAATGTCTGTTAGCATTGTTCTTGGTTAAAGAGGCAATGTCTGTTAGCATTGTTCTTGGTTAAAGAGGCACTGTCTTTTAGCATTGTTCTTGGTTAAAGAGGCAATGTCTTTTAGCATTGTTCTTGGTTAAAGAGGCAATGTCTGTTAGCATTGTTTTTGGTTAAAGAGGCACTGTCTGTCAGTATTGTTCTTGGTTAAAGAGAAACTGTCTGTTAGCATTGTTCTTGGTTAAAGAGGCAATGTCTGTCAGCATTGTTCTTGGTTAAAGAGGCACTGTCTGTTAGCATTGTTCTTGGTTAAAGAGGCACTGTCTTTTAGCATTGTTCTTGGTTAAAGAGGCACTGTATTTTAGCATTGTTCTTGGTTAAAGAGGCACTGTCTTTTAGCATTGTTCTTGGTTAAAGAGGCAATGTCTGTCAGCATTGTTCTTGGTTAAAGAGGCAATGTCTGTCAGCATTGTTCTTGGTTAAAGAGGCAATGTCTGTTAGCATTGTTCTTGGTTAAAGAGGCACTGTCTTTTAGCATTGTTCTTGGTTAAAGAGGCACTGTCTTTTAGCATTGTTCTTGGTTAAAGAGGCAATGTCTTTTAGCATTGTTCTTGGTTAAAGAGGCAATGTCTGTCAGCATTGTTCTTGGTTAAAGAGGCACTGTCTGTTAGCATTGTTCTTGGTTAAAAAGGCAATGTCTGTAAGCATTGTTCTTGGTTAAAGAGGAACTGTCTGTCAGCATTGTTCTTGGTTAAAGAGGCAATGTCTGTCAGCATTGTCCTTGGCTAAAGAGAAACTGTCTGTTAGCATTGTTCTGGTTAAAGAGGCAATGTCTGTTAGCATTGTTCTTGGTTAAAGAGGCACTGTCTGTTAGCATTGTCCTTGGTTAAAGAGAAACTGTCTGTTAGCATTGTTCTTGGTTAAAGAGGCAATGTCTGTCAGCATTGTTCTTGGTTAAAGAGGCACTGTCTGTCAGCATTGTTCTTGGTTAAAGAGGCAATGTCTGTCAGCATTGTCCTTGGCTAAAGAGAAACTGTCTGTTAGCATTGTTCTGGTTAAAGAGGCAATGTCTGTTAGCATTGTTCTTGGTTAAAGAGGCACTGTCTGTTAGCATTGTCCTTGGTTAAAGAGAAACTGTCTGTTAGCATTGTTCTTGGTTAAAGAGGCAATGTCTGTCAGCATTGTTCTTGGTTAAAGAGGCACTGTCTGTCAGCATTGTCCTTGTTTAAAGAGGCACTGTATGTTAGCAATGTCCTTGGTTAAAGAGAAACTGTCTGTTAGCATTGTTCTTGGTTAAAGAGGCAATGTCTGTCAGCATTGTTCTTGGTTAAAGAGGCACTGTCTGTTAGCATTGTCCTAGGTTAAAGAGGCAATGTCTTTTAGCATTGTTCTTGGTTAAAGAGGCAATGTCTGTCAGCATTGTTCTTGGTTAAAGAGGCACTGTCTGTCAGCATTGTTCTTGGTTAAAGAGGCAATGTCTGTCAGCATTGTTCTTGGTTAAAAAGGCAGTGTCTGTAAGCATTGTTCTTGGTTAAAAAGGCAATGTCTGTAAGCATTGTTCTTGGTTAAAGGGCACTTTAAGTCCATTTAAAATAAAGATAGGATTAAAAAGTCCATTTAACGAAAAATGGAATCCTTGGAGATGTTGGACCAAACAATTATATGGAAACCTCGAATATGTTTTTTCACTACTTTTTATCCCTACTCATCACTGGAATTATCCTTTACAGTTATCTCCCCAGCATTAAAGCAAGTAGGTGCAGCACCCACCCGAGATTTTGAAAATAGACTTGCAACCACCTGAAAATCTATTTGCACCCACTTGGAAAAACAGAAAATCTTGAAAGATTGGCATATTTGACCAATTTTGGTCTAAATGGTGAAAATTAGAATTTTGCACCCATCTGACAAAAAACACTGGGGAGATCACTGCTTTGTATCCTTCAGAAAAAAATATTGAATCTAACAGTCTGTTTCACTTTAAAGAGGTACTAAGAACTATCTCCAAGGTTGAAGATGTTTGTTTTACAACACAGAAATTTCTTCTTCCAAGATTACACTATGATTAATAGGGAAGCCCTTTTATCTACAAACATATCACTTTTTCTACCTCACATATGTTTGCCTTTTTACCACTGTAGCTCAATTCTGACATACCAGGATATAGGAAATGTATCAATTTCTGATTTAAACTATGAATATAGAAATATCTAAATTCTATAATAAATATAAAAACATCTAAATATCTAAATACGAAAATAGAAATCTCTGACAATATAATCTATTCAATATTACCTGAACACATATCATATACAGGATTTATAAAGAAATCAGCTGTTCATTACAACAATACAATTTGTTTCTAAAACATACAACATCTAAAAACATGTTTCTAATCCAGCCTTCAATGGACCATACTTGCAAAAAACTACATCTAAAAAGGAAACTAATTACAATATATTGATATCAATTATACCTATATTATATGTAATTATTGAAAATATGTCTTAACTTACCTTCGCTTGACCATTCTAAATTAATCCCTTTAAATTAGCTCTAATTACAAGGATCTAGTACATAATGTGTCCTCTAGACAGAGAAAATGTCCTCATAACATGTTAACGGCGGATTTAATAGATAGATGAAAGGCGACGGTTATTTGTTATGCTAGAATCCTAAATTGATAAGACCTGTCTGTTTATATGTTGAACTTACTTTTGTATAAATATCAAGTGTTTTCCAAGCTGGTTTAATGTCAGAGCTTAGTCCGCCACTAAATACTAGACATGTGCCTTAGATAGACAGCTTTCCAATAATGAAGCTTATTCTCCAACTTGAAGATTCACCCTGCTCGCTTGTAGTACGACACGTATGTATTATGTGTTCTGAAATATAGGCTTAGCTATTAGTCTGAGCAAGGACTGGTGATAAAAGGCTCTTAAGAAGCATCTTGGATTTCCAAGGTGTGATGTTTTCATGAAAATCACACTGGAAAGTGATTGCGCTGAAAATGAATAATTCCTCGAGAGAGTGGGAATTTCGGAGATGGTATTTGACTTAACTAATGAGATCACTTAAACGAGGGACTTAAAGTAAAGTTAAAATAAGGGAAGAGATAAAGTTAAACCTGTCTTAGTGAACACCTCTCTCTAGTGAACACTTGTCTCTACTAAACACCCTTCCTTCGCACATACTCTACTGACTTCTGAATAAATTACCCTCTCTCTAGTGAACACTTGTCTCTACTAAACACCCTTCCTTCGCACATACTCTACTGACTTCTGAATAAATTACCCTTTCTGTAGTGATAGCTACCAGCACTGAACATTTTTCACATCAAAAATTGTTCGATTTTGCTGTATATTGTGAAAGATTTCCCCTTATCCTTTAAATGTAGCATATTCAAACAAAATTCTTGTTAGGAAACATCTATGAACACTATACATCAGTTCACATAAGAATTTGCATGCATGCCTGTTATCTAGCCATGGATCTGTAACTTGTTTATGTAACAGTATTTATAAATATCTATTAATAATTAGTACTTCATACTTTACATAATATTATATGGTATATTTATGGAGGAGTGATTTTCTTTGTTTTGCATTACACCTATTTGTAACTCGTGTATTATTTCAAATATTAATTTTCTATGATAGATTCCATTCAAAAGATTATTATTACATATTTTGCCCAATGATTAAAAACATCATACTAATCGTTAATGTTCACTTAGATTATTCACACCTGATAGCGTATATGCTAGCAATATTACATCCACCATAAGCACAAGTCTGAGGAGTGTCATGCTTGATGAACTGAGTTCACACCTGATAGCATATATGCTAGCAATATTACATCCACCATAAGCACGAGTCTGAGGAGTGTCATGCTTGATGAACTGAGTTCCATTTACCTCGTATGAAGTTGAATTGACAGTATTATATTGCCTCAACTCAATTTGCCTCACCTATTCAAATTTGCCTCACCTATTCAAATTTGCCCACCTATTTAACTTTGCCTCGCTCATTTGAATTTGCCTCACCTAAGATCCTGACTACAACCCTGGTCCACTTTGATTATTTTATTTCCTATTAGTATTGATATATTTACCCTGCACACGACTCTGCCTGATTCTCTTTAAAAAAATTGATCTTGTCAATATCAGATTTCAGAAGTAATCAGAAAACAATAAAGGCCATGAAAGATGCATTTATCAATTAAGAAATTGTTGATAGAATGCAATGGAGAACATAACTAATATCACATCAGAAGGAATACAGAAGTAGCCATCATCTGATATGCTATTTTATATTTGCTATTATGTTCTTGTCATGTTTCTCACTCTCCAGGGGTCGACTCAGGAAATTCAAATAGGTGAGGCAAATTCAAATAGGTGAGGCAAAATGAGATAAAGCATCATTATACTTAAATATTATCATGCTACTTCATTTTCAATTTTGACAATAGTCTGGATTAATATTTTTGTGTAGCCTGTCTGGCCAGAGTGACGACACCCATGCATGTTGATTTTATATAACTAGCCATCCCAGTCAGTAGTATTATTTCATATCATCATATCGCGACACAGCAACACTTCCGGGAATATGCAGTATATCAAAATTTACCTCGCAGAATCAAATTTTATTTATTTACCTTCCTATTACCATAGAAATACAGAACATGTATAAGATAAACTAATAAAAAGATAAACATCAGAGAAATCCCAACAGAAGTTACTCACAAGAACACAAATGTGTAAAACATGTCTCCACCAATAGGTGATCCTATGACCTATGACCTATATACTGCACATACACAAAACTGAGGACTTGATATATTTGAACAGAGAATTTCTGTACCTTATCAAGCTGAAACAAAACTTCAGATAGACACAAAAATTCATCAAATTCTTGTAATGACAAAACACATTTTACTTTCCAGACAAAATCTTCCATGTTGTTGTGCCATCTTTCAAAATATCAAAATACAGGGTGTCCGGAAAGTAAAGATACAAATGGTCTAATTTCATTAGATTTACCTGTTGTGAGATGAAATTGCTACAGATTGTAGAATGACATTGTAACAATTTATCCTGAAACTGACATGACAAATTGTTTCAAAATAAAAAAGTTATGGTTGTTATGGTAACAGGAGTCGCGGGTATGTGGAGCAACGTCACAATTATGTTTTATAATTCCTTTCTCCTGTTCATATCATCTTGACGCTCCGTCGTCTGTTACAATTATGCATCAAATTATGTACCACAACAGCAAAGGGATTAGTTCTGTAACATTATTTAATCGTTTGACATTACTACTGTTATCCAGTATTATGTATTTTCCACCTTTATCTAAACATTCTTGATGCATTTTGACCTGAGATTCAAAGACCTGACAAAACCTTTGCTGTCAGTCTCTAAGATTGCTGATAACATTGGCTTCCAGCCGAGTCTCATTTTTATGTTGAACTTCTCACAAATATTGCTTTAACATATTCATTAATGTAGAAGTCCAACGGGACATTATCAGGGAAATATGGGCCATTGTACAAAAAAGGTAAATGTCGAGACATTCAATTGTAAGATTTGTTTTCTTTACTTTGTGCATTGGAGCATTGCCTGTGGAGGTGCACTATTGACTTTCCTCTTAATCCAGGGATCCTTTTTCTGAGCACTTATATACCCATTTTCTTTGATTATACTTGTGACATTACATAGTTCTGATATGTATCAATGATATCGTTATACTAAAGAGAATACTGTGGCAGCAAGAATACAATATTGAACAAAGCAAAAAACTGACAAGAAATACAATAATAAACACTATTTCAAGTGGTTAGATTTTAGCAATTTATCACAATTTAGCGACATCCTGGAACTGCTCCACATACCCCTCACCACCGTAACCATGACAACCATAACTTTAACACATTTAGACTATATGTTATAAAAGTTGGTAGATGTATTGTAATGTAGTTGCTCTTCAATCTGAAGCGATTTCATTACAAAAAGACTAAATCTCTTAAAATTAGAATATTTGTATCTTTACTTTCCGGACACCCTGTATATAAATATCATTACAAATAAACATGCCATGGATAAGATACCTAGAAAGCATGCTTTTGTTTGCATCAAATATTCTAGAAGATAAAAGAGAAGATGAACACAGCAGTTCTATGAGGCTTATGACAACTGTAAAGGTATAAATACAAAAAAATCATTGAATGGAATATCTTGGAAAGGACAAGTGACATTAGAGGCATATCATATTGAAGAGAAATATCAAATGTGCTTTATAAAAATATAATTTGACATTGATGTTACAGTCAGTTAAAGGTCACATACCTTTTATTTGGTGAATTTTACAAATATCATAATCAATGGTTACTAGTATCTTAATCATTGGCTTTCTATTGAATCCCCATGTCTTAATAATGTATAAAAAACATAAACCAGTTTGAACATATCAACATGTGTTTTTCTTAAATATATGAAACACTGAAAAACATGATCAACATTGCTTTCAAGGAAAAGCACACAGGGTAACAATGGCAAAAAACAAATGCTATTTTAGTTAGGTTATAGACTAGCATTGGTTAAATTATGTAAGTGACTTAGTATAGTAAGAATGTCAACTTTTAGAAATTGTAATTTAGTCTACCAACATTTCAATTATTTGAAAATCAAAAATGGCAACATTTGAAGAAGGTACAAAGAACGATTTTCTCTCATAGGCTATACTTCTAACACAATCTATGTACATTAAGACACATCCAGTGGGCACAGCAGCCCACCACTCTGCTATCACATTGGCACATAGGAAATTCCATACAACCTATATACATATACCCCTTTTCAACAATTAATGGTTATTTCTAAATAAAAAGTTTATTATTCATGACATGTCTATCTAAATCAACTGATACATATGGAACTACAGTGTAGCACTCCATTGGTAATGGAAGTTCAAGCCTTCCAACTTGATGGAAGATTCCTGCAATTCCTACGTCTTGAGATACCTCGAAAAAGTGTAATCTCATCCCTCATTCCCTTATCTCATTCATTCAGTGCATTCAATGAGATGACCAGGAATGGTTTGCATTATTGCCGATTATGCCGAAGAACAATAACTGTATATAAATTCGTAGGAGCAATCAAAAAGATTTGAACAATGTCAAATGCTTGATCATCAAGTTATTGAGTTTTACCTTCTTCTAAGGCCACTGTATCGTGGCCTTCCTGGAAAGATAATTTCCTGCATGAACAATTGGGTCATGTCGTAATCATAAAATTTGAAATCATATGTCCGCCATTTTTCCACATCACAATTTGAATTGCGAGTTTTGGTCTTACCTCACCAAAAATTCCAAAACACACATGAAGTGATCGGTGTATTCACATCTTCTGGATCGCTAACTTAGAATTTACAGCCAGTTACTAATGTCAGACGTTAACGACATTTCATCCAGAGTTAGAATATCGCCATTTCTTGGAGCCATTTTGTTTTAATTTTAGACGAAATCCTGACGAAATCATGTCATATCTCATCATGGGCTCTATCAGGTGGTAGATCTAGATCCCATGATCTCATCAAGGAGTTGAGTCAGTTCCGATTTAATTATGATTTATTTATCTGGCGATTTTTAAAATATTCAATATATTTGACACTGCGGCCAGGTTTTTTCAAATGGAGTTCACAGTATTCCAGATGAAATCCCCTCTAGCCAACTATTGGCTACTATTTTTTTCATGGCCTGAGTTCGTCGCTAACATGCTAAATATAAGAGTTAGCTGACGTTTGGGAGTCTGACTTACCTTCTAAAGGTTAGAACCCGAATCTTAATGAAACCATTTCACCTTTGTTCCGTCAACCATGGAGCATTTGCCACAACATCCAAGAGGTAAATCATGGACCGTGAAAATGAATGATTTCCTTGTAAGTTCCGGAAGTTTCAATACGAAAAATTACCGAACATATGTGAAAACCGAATATTTGTTCGTTGTTTTCACGATTTACAGGTTCGTTTGTTCTTCAATGTTTTGGTCTAAATTATAAAGCATCACCAACAGGTCTTACCCTATTAATACCCTACTAATACAGCAGACGGCTCATATTTCTACGTAGCATTTCGTTCAGACCAATAGTGGGAGTGTAGATCACGCAGTTACGTTCGTTGCGTACTTCACTTGAAATTGGTAATTTTAAATATTGGCTACTTCACTTAGCTTGGCGGATGTAGAACATTGCTTAATATTCTTTTAATTTTCACACCAGACATGCTTGGTTGACACGTCAACAAAGTAAAGTTCAAGGGTCAATGCGTTATTTCGTGATAACTACAACGCCTTCCCGGAAGTCAACATTGATGAAAAATGAAAAAAGTCGGAAAAGCATTTACACTAATTTCTATCAAATGCTGTGTTTATGCATCATCATTGACGCAACAAAGGTGATATGGTTTCATTAAGAATCGGGTTCTAACCTTTAGAAGGTAAGTCAGACTCCCTAACGTCAGCTAACTCTTATATTTAGCATGTTAGCGACAAACTCAGGCCATGAAAAAAATAGTAGAGACTCGAGTAAATTGAGTTAGTTGTACAACCTGCAGATTCAAAATAAGTACACTTACCATATCTATATCTGCTGCACACCCATAAAGCATCACACATATATTCATTTCTGACTTAGCATAGTTTACATCCGTTGCATCGTCAGAGGTAGGTCCAAATGAGCAGATTTATCTACAGAAAATAAAAATACTTCAAAATGTCTGAATTCGAAAGTCATGTGACTTTTACGACTTAACACACTGTATGAAGTTTATTTGTTTCCCGGGACCTGCCCGGGACATTTGCTCATACATTTGCTCCATAGTCATAACAATATTAATATTTCCAAGCATACCAATAACATCATATAGATTTTACATAAGTAATTAATGCATCTTAGTCGAGTGTTATCAGTTAATCTGCAGCTTTCGTCTTTCCCGAGAATGTCACAAATATTAGATATTTGCACTACACGAAACAAGCTCCTTGGATACAGTATGTATCATACAGTTCGATTGGTTCAAAAATATTTCCGGTGTGAGAAAATGACCAATTAGAACTTACCTTTCAAAAAGCTAAGAATATTGTGTAAAATGTGATCGAAATTTTTTTCTGAACAAAACATTGAATAAGTGTGTACATAGGTGCTTCGAACTATAAATGACCATGTGGTATTTTATTTGAACAGTCTTTTTATCACCAGGAAGTTGAAATTAGTTTACATAAGGTAAAATAAAGAAGTTACACAAAGTTTTAAAAATGTCATTTTTTGATGTGCCAGGTGGTCATTCAATCACTGCATACAACCCTACGAATGACTACAATGACTATAACAACTACAATACACCTTTTGGGCAGGATGAAAGCACAGCTGCATCGGCTATTCTACCTGATACTGATAATAATGACATTGCAGCCAATGAATTAACAAATGCAAATTCTGAACAAATTCAATCACAAAGTGCTGAACTGCAGCCAGTGTCTTCTGCTGAAGAGCCGGAAGAAGCACCTGTCATAGATATTGTTATTAACAATGTGGTCTGTTCATTTGCGACAAAATGTCATCTGAATCTCAAGCAGATAGCATTAGAAGGATACAATCTCGAGTATAAAAGAGAACAAGGAGTAAGTAGAATTATTGAATTAGCCTCTATTGAATGCCCATGGCAAAAATGATTAGCAAGGAATAAGAATAAATCCAGAATACAGTCAAAATCATAACTTCAGATCTAAAATTATGCAATTGAAGGATCATACTGCAACATCATATGGAAAATAAAAACATGTACAGTGCTAACCATAATAAATAGGCGATGGGTTTTTGAACTAAATAGAGTGCTCCACTGGATTTGACTATTTACTAGTGGTCAGACTCGCCTGAAAATCTCCACTCGAGTGGGCCATGAAAAACCACGATTATATTCGCGATTTGACTTAAGTTGAGTTACTTCCGATTTCAGTTTCCCAAGTAGCGGCAGAATTCATCAATTTGATAAAGTCTTTCAAGTGCCTCTATACTTTTTATTGTCTAAATCGTATTGCACATCCCTATAGATCGTTAAAGTTCACCCCTAGTCCCCTATAGATAGTAAAACTTACCGGATAAATAGTGAAAACAAACTTCGTCAATCCAGAAAGTTCCAGGATGCACCGCGGTAGACAAATTTTAAAATTCCCGGCTGTTGGATATTCCCAGAATGCATCAAACCGGAAATGAAACTTTTGCATAAAAATAACGAAAGCAGAATAAAATCCAAGTATGTTTGTCCTCCGCACATGGCATTAAATAGAAAATAAGTTGTATTCTATACAGATTAAACAGAATATTACAACTATAAGCATGGAAATTGTGAATAGTAGAGACGAATCGCGAGTCAAGGTAAGGTGAAAACGAGTAAAAAATATTTTTTTGGTAAAAATTTCAAATCGTGAGTTCAAGTTTTCAACTCGATCAATTGATTTTTAGGACAAATGCGAGTAAAACTCGAGTACACGAGTCAGTCTTCCAACCACTACTATTTACCCCTGAGACTCTTATCTAAAGAATGCACAAATGAACCCCTTATCAATAAAATCTTGAACCACAATAAACAAACCTAGCGGAGATTACCCCTACCTAATTTTAAGAAAATGTGGGCTCAAACTCCTGACAAATGCATCATGCATACACTGATATGATGCCTTCATTTTTGTAAATATGATTTATGGGATATACTTTTCTGCAGTTTGGGATTTTAAATGTTAAAATGCAAGAAAATACTTTGCAAATTATACAACCTATCAATTATATCTGGTCCCCACTCAGGCCCACTGTAAAGTCCATTTCTCTGTTTCATTTACTCAGTAAAACTTAAACAATAAGAAATCAAAAAACCATTGTGCAATAATATAAGGAAAATATATTGATATTTTACACAAATGACATTTGTATATTTCAGATTACCATGGCCTCTTGTAATTTAAAGAGTTTCAGCCATGTTCATTTTTCAAAAATAACATGGCAGAGAAGCATCAAAATATAAGAAGTCACACATTTTATAAGCCAAACCAGAAGCAGTCTAAGATATTCAAATGTCATTTAGGTTTTACTGAGTCAATGAAACAGTGAAATAGACTGTAAAGTGCTCAATGTAATAGATAAGCAGTTATTTTACAAAATAAATAAAACTTCCCTTCCAAAATTTGTTGGCCTATAGACGCCTATGAGCATGACGCTTATCTTAAGGATAGAATGCACAAATGAAGCACAAGTCCTGTTAATATAGGCATAATTTTACCTATTGATTCGTCATATACACATAAAATGCCATGGTGTACTCTCAAAATTTAGAAAAAAGTTGATTTTTATATTGAATTGCCCCACACTTTAAAAATGGATAAAAATGGCCAATAAATTACATTTTATTTAATTAGTCCATATTTGTTAGACTGTCATATTTTAAAACGCCCCAGAACACTTTAAATGCAATCTCATTTTTAAATTTTTTTGATGGAAGAACCCTCCCTTACACCCTCAAAGCTCATTCGCTTCGCTCATTCGTGGCGTACACTCACAAAGTACCCACACTACGCCACTGATGTGAACTCAGATTTGTGATAAAATGTATCATGCATACTCTGGTATAAAGCTGTATGTAAAAAGAAATTTAGGTGAATATATTTTTATGGGAGATACTTCTGAACTTTATAAAAGGTATCTGACTTTACCGTTGTCAGGGTGTTCCGTTGTGGAGTATCGGCACAAATTCTATTCTTATTTTTCAAGAGCACTGTACCAGTGTACCTAAATAACCTTATAGCTGCGATTTCGCCTGTATTTACTATTTTATTTTAATACTAGGATTCTTAAGTTGGAGATGGTTGATATGCTTAAATCAAGAGCAAAAGATCAAGCTAATGCAGATAATATTGTACTTCCATTTTATTATATACATAACATGTATCTTGTATATTGTGTATCCTATAACACAAAATGATCCTCCAGTATTTCTATGTGCTCCTTAAAATCCTCTATAAAAAACTATAAAAATCCTTAAATGTTGCACAAGGCTTGCAAAAGAATACTGTTGAAAAAATCGAGCATATCATATGGTATCCACAAAACAATTCTCACGGGGTGCCATCGAATAATTTTGGCAACGTACCGGAGAACGACATTTTACTAAGAAATGGCAATAATTTAGCACAATATATTTTTTAACTAGAGTTCTATTTTGATTTTGACAAAAGTAAGTATTCCATGCAATAACTATTTCATTCATGAGTTTGTAGGAATTCTGTTGGAACCCAGTTCTGATCAAGTACGAAGTTATTGAAATCGGCGCAGACGGACTTTACTCCGAAAGATGGTTTTTCGATTATAACTTTTCACAACATTTAAGTATAGACTTTTGAAAAAAGTACAGAATAGTCCTTATACTTTTGAATAATTCTGTTATTTCTGATTCACACGACTCTGATTTGTTTAATTAAAAAAAAGTTTTAAAAATATTACTTGGGAACGTAACCGGAGCTGGGAACGTAACCGGAGCAGATCAGTTGAATTATTTAATCAAAAAAATTAAAATATATGATTTAAAGCACATATACTAATTTAAAAACATACGGGATTGTTCGAATGCGTATTTATTACATTTTATTTAAAGAAAAAATTTTATCCATTGTGAAAAATTAAATTTGGTATTTACCATGCATAAGTGCACTTACCTTAGAAAGGCTATCAAACATAGAACAATCATTGTATGGAGAATGAAGTGATTAAATGTAGTAAGCAAATAATTCCATTTGATTTCATCCCATTGTATTTGTTCAGCGAACTATTAGAACCCACTCTGTTATACTAATTTCGTATATATATACTGTTTATACATACATGTATTATACTTCTAAGACAACTTCTCTTTTTCAGGGGAAATAAAAGCATTTAAATGCTAGATTATTAAAAAAGTTAGGATACAACGAACTGTATATAGCGTAGGTGTGTTAAGTACTTGTCATGTGCTCGACCAAATCGAATCAACATATGCTTTCTGAAATTCTTCACCTAACCCCCCCCCCTCCATATAAACGTAAGATGTTTGAGTGAGTGCCCGTTTATTGTTTTATGCAAAACCAGTTGTTATCCATCTTTGTTTCGATAAACCTAGGCGTGGGTCATTAAGCAAGTAAGAAAGTGAATGATTATTTCTAGTTTAACTACAGAACATTGCTTTTCAGTCGTTAATAGACAGTGTTCTATAATTCTATCACACCAAGTAAGCTGACATATGTGTTTGTAAATAATATATATGCTTTAAATCATATATTTTATTTTTTTAAATTATATAATTCAACTGATCTGCTCCGGTTACGTTCCTAAGTAATATTTTTAAAACTTTTTTTTTAATTAAACAAATCAGAGTCGTGTGAATCAGAAATAACAGAAATATTCAATAGTATAAGGACTATTCTGTACTTTTTTCAAAAGTCTATACTTAAATGTTGTAAAAAGTTATAATCGAAAAACCATCTTTCGGAGTAAAGTCCGTCTGCGCCGATTTCAATAACTTCGTACTTGATCAGAACTGGGCTCCAACAGAATTCCTACGAACTCATGAATGAAATAGTTATTGCATGGAATACTTACTTTTGTCAAAATCAAAATAGAACTCTAGTTAAAAAATATATTGTGCTAAATTATTGCCATTTCTTAGTAAAATGTCGTTCTCCGGTACGTTGCCAAAATTATTCGATGGTACCCCGTGATTCTTTAGGTTAGTGTGCTCGAGATTACTTTTGCACAATACAATGAGAAAATATGAATAAACATAGGAAAATTAATAAGCTTTTTTATTCTCACTTTTCAACACTACGCACTGGTGTTTTGGCGTACATTGTTCCTATGCCATTGCCAAATGAACACAGTGCAGTATCCAAACTGCATGGATTCTATGCATGCAGTTTGAAACACTGACAAACTGTGTGCATATTAACTTTGCATCATACAAGTTGGAGTCTGTGTTTTCAAGCATCATTTTAAGACATTTATTCTGCAGTTTCATACGTCCATTCAGTGGCGATTATATGATTCTACCATGTGATTGCGAAAAACTATGTCCAGATGAACGTAGGTTTTAAAATATAAGCAGATTAAAAAAAATTGTCATTGCTTTTTCGATTACCGACACATAAGTTGCTGTCGCATTTTTCACAGAAATAGAAAATACGATATGAATTAAAACATATGCAGCAATCCTGTATCTTTCAGTATATGCACACACAGGGGCTGAATAATCCTCATACTATGACAAACAGATATTATGTGGCGCAACACTGTATATTTTGAACACGAAAGCTCCTTGGGAACCTTATATTGAGATAACTAGGTTTACACCGGGAAAAAAATTGAGTGCTCCTTGTAAAGTAAGTTAATCTCCACATAATGGTACTGTCCAGTGTTTTTCATCCTTTTGGCAGTCGTGTCCTCCCTGTATGCCATTTTTAAATATGCGTGCAGTTTGTCAGTGTTTCAAACTGCGTGCATAGTATGCATGCAGTTTGGATACTGCGCCGTGATGAAATTGTACTTAAATGTGGGACATGGCTTTCATAGTTAAGTTCAGAATTCATTTTTATTAGAATTATCT